TATATATAAAACACCAGTTTCATTTATAATTCATAGAACATCTGAAATGATGATCTCAATAATATGGTTGAGTTTCCTGAAGCCTCCAGGCTACATGGATCTTCTTAAATGACCCCAGTTAAAAGATCTATACAGATGAAGCGAAAACCTGTACCTCGTCCTGATTGTGAAATGAGCAATTCACATTTCCCAGACCCTTGAAACCCACAAGACTTACATTAACTATCGAAAAAGATTGCAATACTTAACGTCGAGGGTTACGTTAATTCTTAAACAGCGCACACAACATCGTAACATTTTTAGATTAATCGTTATGACCTCAATGATTTCCCATATTTTATTCCGCACGAAATTCTTCTGCAAAGCAATTAGTTTCTTCCTCAGAAATCTCATCATAATTTTAAGTTCACTTTACATCGTAATGACACAACACAAAATAAATTTCCTCAGACAGTTTCTATTTATAAGCTTTATAAATAATTTAACCGAAACTGATTACGCGTACTTTGAAATACAGACGGACAGACAGACTTGACTCGACTCCGTAAACGTTCCAAGATACTAACTAAGATGGTTGTCTTCTGGGTTGTTTTACCGCTGTGTTGCGAAGTCTGCTACAAATTTATCGACGTTTCATGGCAATCGTCCTGAAGATGGTTGCAAAATGTACATTCGAAACGTCCGAAATTTCTGACTACACGAGGCTACAACCCAGAAGACGGCCACCTACATATTCGCTGCAGTGAGAACCTGAAGTCTCACAGTCTAAAATATGCACGTGGCAATCGAATAGGCTTTAATACCAAATACTGACAAAAAAATTGAAATGTGTACATTATTATTAAAAAAAAATTTTGTATAATTTCTAACAAGAATGAACTCTCATTCAGTTTTGGAATGATACGAAAAAGGCAAATTCGTTTCGACATGATATGAGAAACGATTTCGATGACTTACCATTAATTAAATGCCCTGAAACATGATGTGTATGGTACGCGCGCCTGCCAATGGAAGGCTGTGATGAGCTCCCACTGAATTACTAAGCAAAATTTCATTACTCTCAGTTCCATAACACCATGACTACAACCACAATTCGCTCCAAGATTACATTGCACAAACCAAACATTACTTTGATCTGTTATAAGCACATAATTGTTAGTATAAGACTGTCAAATACTTAAATGGTGACACCCAATCATTTAACCCTTTGAAGCCAAAGCTCGTCTATAAATTTTTACGAATTTGGTACGTACCACAGAACATTTCACCATTACTGAGATAATCCAGTTAACGTTCCTCTAAATTCCTTTACACTCATGCACAGAAATTTGTACTAAAATATATTTATGTACGTTTCTTTATACTTCTATAATACGTCATAATTTGAATTACCTAACGCGTTGGTTAAAGAGTTAATGAGTTTATAAGTTCTGTCTGGTGTAATACGCAACAACATAAAGGCATTTATATACAAAGTAAGCCCTCGTACAACGCGGAAGATACGGCATTCGCCGAATCCGCGTTGGACGAAGTTAATATTGAATTGAATTAATGTGAATACGGGAAAGATTCCGTGGAGATTCGAAGTAAACAAACCCGCTGAACCATGCTGAAGATATTATTAACATTCGCTTTAAAATTGGATCTTTTCACTTATAAATTCGGTAATTAAATGTTCCCAAAATGTTCGAAAATTCAAGGGGGAAAGTTTTATTAAAACCGAATGCGGGCCAATGATGAAATATGCGAATGCCACACAAAGGAAGCCCCCAGTTACAAGTTTCTTTCAAATCTGAAAATGCTTTTATGTATAATTAATTTCATGATACAGATATACACACATATCCCGAGTTGAATTCTTGCTTTGAGCGGGATACCGCGAGAGCATTCCAATATTAATTATGATTTTATCTGAGACAAAATATGGGGTCCCTAATTTCATTATAGATAGTTCTGTTTACAGATATACGTCTTTCTAAACTGGCCTAGTCACAGCAAACCGTTTCCAATTTAAAAGCCACTTCCCCGCGCTAACCAAAAGTCTTTTAATGGCATTACTCGGTAAAGCAGGTAACGTTGGTACCAGCAGAGTCACTGAGACAATAACAGATAGGAAACAATCAAGCAATCTCTTTTTTAACTGCAGGATAAGCTGTAATAAAATTATTCGTGTGTTCTTTGTAAGATTAAAGGAGGTGTTTCTGTCTGCACAACACTAAAATTAAAATTAAAATTAAAAAAATGCCTCATTACGGTTAAATCCTAAAACACTAAGCCTTCTGCAGTAAGAATAACAACAACCAGGCCAAGACGTAAGTCGATCTGAAAGTGGGACTAAAGTTAAATATTAAAACCGACTGTGACGAAAGATGGTCATTCAAAATTAGGAGTCGGGAGATGTTTGTGGCGATGGAACTTTTGACTCTGGTCAGTTGTCTTGTCAGAGTTATCCCGCGACCTTTCAAACACAAACATCATTATCAGTTATCCTTTATGGAGTTTCAAGTCATTTTATTCGGTATGTCCAAACGAATTACGGAATAAAATTTGTAAATGGGCTGTGACAATTCTCGTCCAAATACCTAACTACCCACAATTCATTCTTAAGAACTCTGTGGCAACGACTGATTC